TAGCGGGTTATCGGATCCAAAACCGGACCCGATAGCTTAACGGCGTTCTGTTACGGTGGATGCCACGTGTCGGTCACCCTTGACGAAAGCACTTCTATGACGCGCGATTTATCGTCATGGAAGTGGACACTTCCGTGATGATAATTTTGGTAATGTCATGGAACACTTCAAAGACAGCACAAGTATGACTATCTTGATTCTGTCATAAAATCTCATGGATGTACATGCATGACAGAAAACGTGACCTACTGTGACAAACACCTATCATCACAGAAGTGTATTTTTTTGGTAGCGATAGAATCGAACGCCTACTCTTTATCTATGCCATCTGTAAGAATATCTAAACTACAGTCTTCTTGCGAATATTCCGCAGCTATCATCACTTAGTCATATACCAAGTTCATGGGAATCTCTTTTCCATCCGGTCCCTGAGGTTCAACTCGGGCCATATGATACGGATCAAGTCCGGTGTAGCGCGTTTTCACCATTGCCCATGCCTCTCGGGCACCTTCCCGGCATGTGACGCCTTCCATAGCTCGAAACGGCACCGAGCACCTTTGAACAGGTTCCCCAGTCCCCTCCATACTTTCTGGAGGGGCATCGGATGGCCATAAGGCTTTGACCATACTCTTCATGGCTTTCTGGGCTCTCTCGTGCACTATAGACAACTCTTTTAGAACGTCGCCTTGGAATCCTGAAACTTGTTCTTTGGGACGCCCGGTTAACAAGCCTGCAAGAAGAACATTATAAGACTTCACATTTTTGGATTATAAGATTCCCCTGGATAGTTCAAAAGGTCATACCGAATATGCTGCCTTTCAACTTTTTGTTCTCTTTTTGTGTGGCCGATAATTGAGCCCATAAGCTCTTTATCTCTTCGGCTTGCTCATCCCTTTCCTCCTCAGGTTTGTTCTTTTGGTCACTGGTAATCGTCACTTTCTTCATTTCCTCTAACTCTGAGGTGGTGGCATGTAGCTTTGTCCAGTTTGCTTCAAGCTCCTGGGACAGCGCATTGTTCTTCTCTTTGAGAACCTGCGGCGATAACGTCCTTAAATGGGTTGGTCTAAACCGCTTCAAGTCTCGGGGGCTACTGGTATATATCTATTAAATTTACACAAACTGTTACCTGCATATCTTTTGAAAACAGGTGAGAAACTCCAGTAAGTCCATCCTAGGAAGCTCGGATGTACATCCACGGTGCTGAGGGGCGGTAAATTCCTGCTCAGTGAAAGATGGAGTGTGCACAGTCTCTTTCAGTCACCGATGATTCATCGTGCTCTCCACTTAGGAATTTGTGATGAATACGTCATCCGAATCCTCCTGAGGTGGATGAGTCGGTGCCTCATCCGAATTGGCTCTCATCCTAGTCATTGAACCCGGTGCCAGATTGGCTGATGCTCGGCTACCTGGGATTTTGGACACGGCACGCCGTGCGCTCCTCCTGGAGTAAGAGGGGGGAGAGAAATATGACAATCTGGTCTTATGCTTAGGCAAATATTGAAGATTATACCTCTTTGATGATAGAGGGGGTTCGACGGTGCTACTGGTTTCCTTTCGTTTTGAAGGCTCACCCTGCATAGATGTTGCCTTTCTAGGGGCTGCCCTCGATTGGGTACGGCTCGCCGAGCACCGATCCTACAAAGCACGGTTCAGTGTGATGGGTGGGATGCAAGTGGGGGCTTCTCTTTATGGAGATGATTTCCGAGCACTTACCTTGACAAAAGGGAGAAGGTCGGGGTAGTCGGCCATAATAGCCACTTCCGAGCTGTCAAGGCTCACCTGATAAAAGACTCCATCATCAAACTCTATAAATGTATCTGGATCCTCGCGGAAACTGGGGTCTTCGTTGCGAGCATGGTCCTCTGGTTGAGGGGAGGGGCAATGAACATTTTCGACTACCTTCCTCCATGTCTGCTTTAAAGATAACCAGAATAACTTGATTAGTACATCTCGATAACGAGGTAGAATAATGCTAGTAATGAACAACTTACCCATTCAATGGGGCTGTGCATGGAAAAACCTTCCCGACAATTTAAGCGGATGAATTCTTCTTTTTCCCCTTATAAAGATCTGTTAGAATGGCGGCCAGAGCGGCTGGGGTGTCCGGGCCCTCGCGCTTATAGCGAGATGAGTCGTCCTCCCCATTGTAACACCATAAAGGGGTCACCCTGGACTGAAGGGGCTGGATGCATCGCTTTATCGCGATAGCCATGACTTCGATTATCGAGAGTCCAGAGTGAGCAAGTAATCTGACCTTGCTAACTAGCCTCATTACATCCGCACTATCTTCTTGCTTAGGGCTATGGGGGCACCAGTTGAGTAGCTTCTTCAAAGGAGCGCTGGAGAATTTGGGAAGTCCATGCCGAACTGGGTCTGAAAGGGGAACATCCTCAATATAAAACCATTCCGAAGACCATTCTCCGGACCCCTTCTTAGGAGTTCCGATAGGGTAACCTGATCCAGCTATGCGCCAAACTTCGGCGCCGCCCACTTCAAATATAGAACCACCTTGATGGTGGGGGACGAAGCAAAAGAACTTCTTCCATAGTTCAAAATGAGCCTCGCAGCCTAAGAACAACTCGCAGAGAGCGACAAAACCCAGAATGTGCAGGATAGAACCTGGTGTGAGGTTGTGCAGCTGGATCCCATAGAATTCCAATAGACCCCTGAGGAAGGGATGGATCAGGAATCCTAAGCCCCTCAGAAGAAACAAGATGAAGCACACCCTCTCCTCCCTATTGGGGTTGAGGAAATTCTCTACTAGCGCATCATTGCCAATCGAGGCCAATCCCGCCCACAGGGAGACTAGATCTGCGGGAGGAAGACATCCCTGCGTATGAAGATGACTCGGCTAAAGGTGAGGCACTGAGCAGCTTCGCCAATCACCCTCTTGATGGCCATGGGGGCGCGAGGAGGAGTTGGGGGCGCTTGTCATGTTTTGGAGTTTTTTTTGTAGTTTTGCTCCGATGCTCTTTGCGCGGTGTGGGATGGCATTTGGGGATCTAACCTCGTTATATAGATGCCCCCCGTACGTGGTAAGGGGCCTATTTGTAAAAAATAATGGACCGTTCGCATTCGTCCAACACGTGGAAATCAAGGCGATGATAGGAAGGAATCATAAAGGCAGAACATGGAGGCCAAAGCCGGACTATCGTCAATCCGTAGTATGTTGAAGAACCCGCCTTGCAAAGCCGAAGACATAAGTTGGATACTATGTCCTCATTGAAGGCAAGTTCGGGGGCTACTGACGGAGTCTTGGATTCGGGGGTCCTCAGGTGTCCAGCCTATTCGATACGGTCCAGACTGATGGGCCATGAAGATAAAGCAGAAGACCGTCCCCCATGTCCGGGTAGGACTCCTATATGCATGGACGGCGATTGGTGTTTGGATGTGCTATTTCCTTTCCCTACAAACCAACTCTGTACAACCCTAGGCCCCTCCGGTGTGTATATAAACCGGAGGGTTTAGTCCGTAGAGGCCATCAGAATAATCATAGGCTAAACAGCTAGGGGTTTAGCCATTACGATTTCGAGGTAGATCAACTCTTGTAACCCCCATACTCATCGAATACAATCAAGCAGAACGTAGGGTTTTACCTCCTTTAAGAGGGCCCAAACCTGGGTAAACATTGTGTCCCATTGTCCCTTGTTACCATCGATCCTTAGACGCACAGCTTGCACCCCCCCCCCCTACCCGAGATCTGCCGGTTTTGACACCGACACCCGGTGCCAAAATATACACCATATATGGTTGGATACCAAGCAATAATATGCGTAGAATTAACACACAATAATATTATAAAACGTCGAGCAGTAAAAATGTGAGCGACCCGCATCACCCGCTCAGTCAGAGCCAATTGCCAACCGCTTGCCACTGCGCTAGATTGCTACTACGACCTGTAGGTTGGTGTATATTCAAAGGACATTTCCGTATCTTAATTTTGTCTAGTTACCTTTCTCTAAATTGTATGCCCGGGATTTCTAAATTCAAAGTTATTATAATTATTTAGTTTTGCCTAATTCTTGTTCTCTAAAATGTAGGGCTTACGTTCAAGGGCATTACAACTAAGAAACAAATTGCTTTGATTTTTCACTTTTCTTGATTGATTCACTTCTAGTTGGATCATTGTTGTCCGCACACAATGATAGTAATACCCAATGTCTGTTAAGTTTAACTTCATACACGTATAGTTTAATCAATATGTTCTATTTTGTTGTTTCTATTTTTGCATCTACAAACAGAAATAATGCAACTCGCTGCACACTTGTGCTCATATAACAACCGACAAATTTTAGGGGAATTTATGGGAACGATTCTTAAAAATACGAAGACCTCAGATAATGTTGGCCCATTATATTAAACACATGATTATCCATCAACTAGTCTTTTATGCTTGTTCATTTTGGTAAGAAATTTTACTGCTCGGCCTTTTATATTATTCTAGCATGTTAATTCTATGCATATTATTGCTTGGTATCCATCCGTATATGGTGTATATGTGAGCAACGGGTCATTTTTATTCTGGGTCCGCCCCTAAAGCCAAGCAACAACAACAGAAGCACACACTTTCCATGGAGATGAGACGAGCAGAGCATGAGGAATGCATATGCATACATTAACAAGAATGAGAACAAAAACAAAGGTGTTCAATTTGGCATGACATGGCTTGGAGAGGTTCGAGAAACCTAGCACTTGTCACCACCTAGGCATGGCCCCATAGCAAGATAAACAACACACAGTTGTAAAGGCGAGGGAGCTATCTCTATCTATCTATCTAAACATCCATCCATCCACTTTTCAGTAGGGACAAATTAAACAAAGCACATAAAACGTCAAGGCTTCTCTAGCAAGTGACTTGCGAGCACAAGCATTCACTCTATTTAAGCATCTGCTCTCATATCTCTAGATATCATTGAATTCCTTTTGTAGTTACACAAATCTCCATCGTTGCCCCCAGTATTTGCGCCACCCTAGAACCAATTTCCCAGAGAGCCTCCGCCATGGCAGACCACCTTCAAGTTCAGCGGCAACAACTAAAGTTCCCTCAGGGGTTCAGGTTTCACCCGACGGATGTGGAGATCATCACCTCCTACCTAGTCCCTAAAGTGTTGAACAAAGCATTCGACCCCATAGCGATCGGGGAGGTGGACCTGAACAAATGTGAGCCGTGGGAACTCCCCGAGAAGGCGAAAATGGGGGAGAAGGAGTGGTACTTCTTCTCCCAAAAGGACCGCAAGTACCCCACCGGTATACGGACTAACCGAGCCACGACTTCCGGCTACTGGAAGGCCACTGGAAAGGACAAGGAGATCTTCCACCATGTGACTACAAGTCTCATCGGCATGAAGAAGACGTTGGTCTTCTACAAGGGTAGGGCGCCAAGGGGGGAGAAGACCAACTGGGTCATGCATGAGTATAGGCTCGAGTGTGGAAAACAAGGAACACCTGGTCTACCCACCGACATCACCACCGCCACAGCCATTAATGCATCTTCCAAGGTATTTAAACACATACTAGTAGTACTCATGATTCATGAACACGTTCGTACGTAATAGCTAGCTACTGGACATAGTTGATTTGCACTGATTTAGTTTATGTATGTTGGTAGGAGGAGTATGTGGTTTGCAGGATATTCCATAAGAGCACTGGACTCAAGAAGGTAGTTGTGTCGTCGTACGCCATTCCCATGTCAATGCCCATGGGAGCAGAGGAGCAACATGCCTTCCATGAATCCGGTACATTACCTCCTTTCATGGGCTATGGTGCATCATCATCCCTGGTGCCCCCATCGTCCGTACCTACATCTTCTTCATACCAGCTGCATGACGTTGGGGCCAGATCGTCAATGATGGGTAGTGCGGTGCTCCCGATGATGAACGACCACTATTTCAGGAATCACCACTACCAGAATATGGCTACCCCACCACGACCGTTGGTGTCGTTCTACCACCATGACCACCACCACCAGCAACAACAACAACAACAACACATGATTCAAATGCCGATGCAGATGCAGATAGGTGCAGATGAGGGCCTTATGATCGGGGTCGAGCCTGGGAGCGGGCCGTCATCCATAGTGTCGCAGGAGGACACTTTGGCCAGGTTCAGCAGCAACGACGTTGCAACAACTGCTGATGAGATCTCGTCAGTGAACATGGGTACGGATGACATATGGAAGTACTGATAAACAGATGATCCAAGCACTAATATATATACCATCAGAAGATCGATCGATACATACCACCACCTATATATATTGGTTTGCACCGCATTTTATTTTTGTGCGTGAGAAGAGAGCTTGTATGCATTGATTGGCTTGGCTTTGCCTCTTTCTTGTGCTAGTACTGTGTGTATGTGTACTGGCTTGTATATGCCACCCACCGGTGTATACCTAGCTACATTTGCATGTGTTCCAAACTACCTGGCAGTGTGTACATCATGCCTGTATTAAACCTATGTGCAATAAACTACTTTATTTAATTTTGAATATTTGAGTAAATGTATTATCGTGAATCGACTAAATGTACTACACTAGTCGTTTCAGTACAGTACTAGCGATGGGTCGGTTGAGTTGCGCACGCCCTATGCGTTTGAGCGACGACTTGTCTCAACCGCAAACGGTATGTCTTGCCTACTACGAGACGAGCTTCCATTACGCCTTTAGCTCTGCAGCTAACGAGCCAGCCCAACGTAACTGTTCTGAAGAGCTTTTAGGAAACCTATATGGACCGGTTTGGACCAATTTTAGAAGCTCACGTGCGTTTATTTTCTTCTTTGTTTCTGCATGTATTTATCAGTTTTTTTCTTTCGTGTTTTTATTATTCTTTTTTCAATACAGCCGGTTTTTTTAATACAGCTTTTACATTTTCCGTTAACACGCGGAATATTTTTCGATACACATTCAACATTTGTAAAATACATGATGAACATTTTTTTCAAATACATGTTTGCTTTTTCTGAAAAAATGTTAATATTTTTTCAAATACATGTTGATTTTTTTTGGAAAGACGTTAATCATTTTTTGAATATATATATAGAACATTTTTTAGACACACCTTGAAACTTTCCTGTGTGCACTTTGAACATTTCTTTAATATATGTTATACTTTTTTCAGAAATGCCGTGAGCATTTAAAAAATACACGCAGAACATTGATTATATTTGAACCATTTTTAAAATGTGACAAACACTTTTGATGTTTTTTATTTTCCCAGAAAATCTATGTACGTAATTTAGTTTTTTTATAAAAATGTCCCGAACATTCTTTAAATGTTTTATAAAAATGTCCCGAACAGTTTTAAACCAGTGAATATTGTTAAATGGCACAAACATTTTTCTAATGGCACAAGACATATTTTAACATTATACAATCATTTTCTTACCTCTCGGCCTTTGGGCCTACCTCTTTCATTTTTTTTATGGCTTTGGACTTAATGTTTCCATGTCGCCCATGCGAAACAAGTGAATGGTTGTTCCGTCGAGGAATATTCGGCTGATTCGAGCAATTACTAGCCTTATATTTACCGTCCCGTGATATATTTCCTACAAAAGCTCAGTGTCATTCGACGAGACTATCGCCGGGCATTACCCCCCATGACGCCGATGGTAATAATCTTCCATACAAAAGAGGCATATATTGGATGGTCGACTTCGTCCGGCGTCAAGAATATCACTAACACTTTTGTTTTTAGAAAAGGAGGTAGCCCCCTCTTCTTTATGATTACGATGCACCCGTGAGTCAATTTTAGTGGAACTCGTGCTTGCGAACAGTGCGAACAAAATACTCCCGAGTTTATGGTTATAATGAGAGAGAAGGACCTCGTCTCTCCATTTTGGTGTCTATGATCCACTAAAATTTTAAGGGGCCACCTATGCTATGTATTGACCTTTACTTTTGTTCATGATTTAGCTGTTTCTCTGCTTTCGGTCTGCTTCCGTCGTACAAGGCTCTTATCCGAGCAGAGGCTTGGCTGCGCTTTAGCAAGACAACCATGTGTGGCTCAGAAAAAACACACCATCTTCATGGGTTGTGCTTTCCGGTGTTTGGCTATGAGACCACAGTGTTCTGCTCTAAGCCTGGCTTCAGCAGGACAGTCATGTGTGACTCAAGAAAAAATTCGAATAGTCCACATATCTTCAGGTTGCATTCCGTTTTTCTCCCTTCTTCCGTGTCATCCATGCAAAGCCGATGAATGGCTCGGTCGCTGAATAGTATTCGGTTGACCCGAGCAGTCAGTAGATGTTTGTTATATACAACTAGAAGAATGTCCGTGCGTTGTAACGGGGTCACATTAACTTTAAGAGTTCAATATTAATATTCTTATACATATCAAGTGACATTGACGACCTTTTTTACCATCAAATCGTCACACACACACTCTCTGCCTCCCTTTTCCTCACTCTCTCCCCCCCCCCTCTCTCTAACACACACACACACACACATCCATATTATTGGGTACGGGACCATAATCAATCTATTTCACACACACGCTAGTGCATAACAATATGGATTATGTTTATTATATTTGCCACCACAACTGAGAAAATTAATATCATGTAAATCGGCTAGCCGCAGCTCCAAGAATACGCGGAGGATGTGGTCCGCTTCCAAGTGCGTCTGCGCGCCGGCCACCCACGCCGGGTCCTTCAAGTGCCGCTTCCACCGCACCAACTCCCAGGGCCAGGAAGCCGCCCTTCTTCGCCCCCTTCACCGGCCGCGGCCAACGCGGTGCCGCGGCACCCGGCCTCGCCGTTCTCGTCCTCTGGCACCGTCACGACCCAGTGATGCAGCCCAAGCATGGGCCTCGAGAATCAAGAACGCTCGACAACGGAGAGGGAAGGGAAGATCATATACATGTCATAAGAAAGGGAGTTTATTTACCGCTCCCTCGATGTATTGTTTCCTTTGTTTGGAGATTGATTACCATCCATGAGTTAAGGTAAGGTTAATGTGATTGAGCGATTTTTTCTGAAAATCAATTATTTGTTTTCTAATTAATGTGATTGAGCGATTTAAGGTAAGGTTAATTAATTTAGATTTGATCTTTAGAGATTGTTCGTGATTGATTCTACATTACTAAATAATTTACGCCAGTATGGAAAGTTCTGATCTGTTCAGATTTCTTTCGTTGTGTGAGAGGGTGACGTGAAAATAAACCGATGAAGTGGGGGGAGGGGACGAAAAAAATCTACGAAAAAACCCAGCGAAGGTGGGAGGAGGTACAAAAAAAACCATGAAAGGTGGGACGAAAAAAAACCTCCCATACTTCATGCAGGAAGAGCACACATTCATAAGCTAACGGTTTCACAATGCGTTCTTGTTGATAGTAATTGAACCAAATGAAACGATGGACAAGCAGATTGATTAAGGAACTCTAGGTAATACTTCATGCCGCAAGCATTGGCTCAAAAAGTTAATTTGTAAGTAACAAAAAAAGGCCTAGAAGAATAGTTCTACCTAAATAAAGTTTACTGCTGCACATGAGCAGATCCACACGAAGCAGAGGGGAGGTGGAGCAGGCCGGTAACCAGGGGAAGGAGCAGAGTGGGAGAAGATTTACACCGCCGTCTCCACTAGATATGGTGTCTCCGCCGCATCTATGGAGGCGCTGCGGCTCCGCCTCGGATGGTGCTCGTGGCTATGGTGAAGAGGAGGGGCGACGCATGGGCGAAGAGGCAGGCGGTACTCGTGCCCAAAATAGTGGGCCGTTCGAGCTGCGGGAGGGAGGAGGGGATCGCCGGGAGGCGGCGAGATCGATGGGCGGCGGCGGCGGCGTCCAGGTAGGGAAGTCGAGGTAGGGCGTTGTGTTTTTTTAGGGGAATTGCTTGTGAAAATAACGTGCCACAACGATGCAGCGAGCGGATCCCCTTAAAAAAGACATAACGAGTGGATTCCCTTAAAACTGGTAGGAATGGACACGATTGATGACGTTGATAAATAGTGGTGAATGTTGGCCTAATTTACTATCATCATGCATGGAAATGAATCATCAAGAAAAAGAATACTTCCTATTACTATGCTCATAGGAAGCTTCCTAATCTCTGCTACCAAAAGTTTCTGCCCAAAAAAAGGAAGGAAAGTTATGGACCTGATTCGGAAGGAAACAAACGTTATGAAGATTAATTAATTTAGATTTGATCTTTAGAGATTGATTGTGATTGATTCTTTTACATAAAGACATTACTAAATAATTTGTGTCAGTATGGAAAGTTCTGATCCGTTCAGTTTTTTTCGATGTGTGAGAGGGTGAAGCAAAAATAAACCGATGAAGTGGGGGAGGGGACGAAAAAAAATCTATGAAAAAAACCAGCGAAGGTGGGAGGAGGTACCAAAAAAACCATGGTAGGTGGGACGAAAAAAAATCTAGAAGCGAGACTACCAACTGCTCCATTAGAAGTAGTGATTGCCTCCTAATCGGCGCATGATACCGGTGGCATCCATTTAAATGACCACCCGATGTATGTGCAATGGAATCCACCCTTATGTGGTATGCCATTGATGTTAAGCCGGCTAACAGAGTTTTTTTTAGCATCAGTACAAACACAAATGCTCATATACACGTGCATACGCTCATCCCTATGAACGCACACATGCACGCCCTATTCCTATGAGCACATCCGAAAGACTGAGCCGGCATATCATCTTGAGATTTACAAAGTCAATGTAGGCGCCTCGTCATCGACGGAAACGTCTCTCCTCCCACTGAAAGCGCATCGCCGGAAATCTTGAAATAAATCGAGGAATAACGTGAGCATCAGGATTTGACCCTAATGGATTGGGGATACCACTGTCCACCTAACCATCTCAACCACAGGTTGGTTCGCAAGCTGGCTTCAAGTTGGTATTGTGTTGTGCCGTTAGATAAATGCATGCCACCGTGTTTTGTGTCCAGTTTGACGGCTGAGGTCATTTGTCATCGGGATATGCTTGCGGTTTGTATCATTTCGACTGTTTAAGTTGGTTCACTTTGCGGCTTTCCATTTGTTCGGTCCTGCCATGTGCACGATCTCCCCGTCGGCCAACGACAACAGCCAAATTCGAGCTGATGTCAAATAAAGGACGAGAATATCGAGGGTGCGGTGTATCTTTGTATCAGCTACTGTTATCTTGTGTGAAAAATAGAGTGACGGCGGTTCCTCTTAATTACCCCCTCTCCATTAAGACTCCATGCTTTGCATTGGTGA